TTTCTCGTTGTTCTCGTTTTCCATTTCTTTCGTTTTCCTTTTCTTTTGTTTTCCTTTCTTCCGTTTTCCTTTTCTTAGGAATACGTGCAGTGGCCCTCAGGGCCTCTAATCATGACCATGCATAAAAGACAAAACATATGGCGGCGTACGATTCCACGTTCTGCAGAAGATTCATTCTAATTTTTCCACGTTCTGCAGAAGATTCATTCTAATTTTTCCACGTTCTGCAGAAGATTCATTCTAATTTTGCACATTTGGTGAGTAGTGCAGCCAAACCCTGAGAATCACGTGTAGAGAACAACAGGCCATAGCTTACTGACCAACCCATAACTGCTGAATTACAAACCTGAATTCAAATCTCCACTATATATTCAGCCAGCTCGTCATGCAATTCACGTTCACTGCCTGCCTCGTTTTTGGATGGGGGTCTGGGCTTTAATGCCGTGAGGACCCTTAAGAGTGCCTGCATCGGCAACCTGAGGTGTGTTAAGGGGATCCTTTGCTCTTACACACCCCTGAAAAACAACAAAATGGAGTTGAGAGGAAGGATGTAGGGCCCCACCCACACACCTTTAAAAAAAAAATAAAAAAAATAAAAAATTGAGCGCATCACCAATTTGCGCATGGCGCATGCGCACCGCACGGCGCAGCGCAGCGCAGAAGTGCGCCGCAAGTATGTTATAAATCTATTTCAGCCGCCGTCGTCTGTGCCGAAGGGTGTCCAACATTTCCTCATTGTCCACATCCCTATCACCCGGCTATTCGTTGTCCCTTTTGTGCTCAAGGACGCTATCAGGACTGCATGATGCCGCACTGTGATGAACGTCCTGCTGTTTTTTTGACATGTGGACAGCATGTCCTTTGTCAGGACTGTTTTGATGGGATGGCCCGTGCTAGCCGTCCTGCTGAGGCTGTGCCGAAGTAGCTCTCCTTGGGTATCCTTGTGAACATCCACGTCATCCTAGCGTGCCTGTCCTATCTGCTGGGGTGGGGGCTTGTCTTCCTAACTGGTCAATAGAATCAAGCGATCAGGAGCAACACTAATTGTAGGACAGATAGAAGAAAGAAAGAAAACAAAGTACAAATTTCTGGAGAAAAGAAAAAAGAAAACAAAAAAAAAAGAAACAAAGAAAAAAAATATGTTGAACTTTGTAGTGACAGTGGCAATTGGTTTATCTGTGGGATGTGTCATTTGCTTTCTTCCGTTGTCTTTTCTTTGACCTTTCTCTTTCTCTTGCCTTTGTGAGGTCTGGTTTCCTCCTCCTTTTCTTTACCTGTTTGCCTTTTGGCTGTGTGCAAATGGGTCCTTGTGACACACGGGGATGGGGGTAGCCAGTGCTCAACCTGTCATCCACGTGGCTGGCCTTGTACGTAAGAGGTGATGAACAGGTGGGGCTTTCCTTCCTTACTTCTTTTCCTTTCCTTGTTTTGCTCTTTTTCGCCTTCGCGCTCTGATTTACAGTGTGACGATATATATATATATATATA